CCCCACATCTTCCAGGTAATTTGTGGAGACTGTCCCAATAGAACATTTCTTGTTTTGAGACAAACCATTCAGAGACCCAATTTTCCACTTCTTCGTACCCTTTGAAGTGCTACCCAGAAAGTGCATGTGCCATTGATCAGAATAAGCAGTAATCTGAAGGAGCAAGGTCTGGTGAATACCACGGGTGGGTTCATACTTCCCAGGCAAGATCTTTTAACGTGTCGTTAACTGGTTTTGAAGTGTGTGATGGTGCGTCATCATGAAGCAAAATTTCTTTGCCATGTCTTCTGGCACATTCTGGTCTTTTCGAGATCAAAGCATGGTTCAAATTGATTCTTTGTCCGAAGCAAAATTACTTTGCCATGTCTTCTGGCACATTCTGGTCTTTTTGAGATCAAAGCATGGTTCAAATTGATTATTTGCTGTCGGTAGTGATCAGTATTAACGATTTCACCTGGTGTTAGAAGCTCCTAATACACCACACCTTCCTGATCCCACCAAACGCAGAGCACTGCCTTCTTTCCGAAGCGATTTGGCCTTGCAGGCAATGTTGATGGTTGACCTGCGTCAACCCATGATTTTGGGCATTTGGTATTCTCACAATAAACCCACTTTTCATCGCCAGTCACAATTCGATGCAAAAAGACTTTATTTCATGCCATTGAAGCAACATTTTACTGATGACTTTGTGGTTTTCCATTTGTCTTTCTTCAGTTGATGTGGCACCCATTTCCCTTCCTTTAAAATCTTTTCCATTACTGCCCTAATCGGTTTGTCTCAGTGGATAGAGCATCAGCCTGCGGACTCAAGGGTCCCAGGTTCGATTCTGGGCAAGGGCATGTACCTTGGTTGCGGGCACATCCCCAGTGGGGAGCGTGCAGGAGGCGGCTGATCGATGTTTCTCTCTACTCGATGTTTCTCACTCCCTATCCCTTTCCCTTCCTCTCTGTAAAAAATCAATAAAATATATTTAGAAAAAAATAAATAAAATCTTTCCCATTGCTTATAAACATCAGAAATTGTTTGCTGAGCAACGTTTAATCCTTCTGCAAGTTGTTTTTGGGTTTGACACGCATCTTCATCCAATAATGCTTGTCATTGTTGGTCTTCAAACTTTTTCACTTGACCTGGACATTCTTTGTCTTTCACATCGAAATCATCACTTTTAAAGCGTTTAGACCAGTGTTCACAAGTATCTTGAGATGGAGCATGTTCACCATAAGCTTCCCAAAGTATACGATAACTTTTTCTTTAAAATAAAGTAATGATTTAAAACTTCCCCAAATGCTCTTTTTTCGGCACGAAATTTGACATTTTTAAGCATAAAAATATCTATGATGTTAACACCTTCAGAAATCTTCACATGAAGTTTTGAAGCTTGCTGTCAATACAACAAAATAGCATACACACCAAATCGCGTATATATCAACTTATGTGTAACTCCATCTATTGAAGAAATCCGCGTTATTAACTGGTACACCTAGTACACTGGAGGTGAGACCCCTGCTCCTCTCTCATTCTCTGGATCCCCCCGCATCCCAGTCCTAGGGACATGGTGTGTCATTCTGAGTACCCGTCCTCACCTGTCACCAGCAGTAGAAGGACGTCACTGGGCGGTGACCTTACGGTGCGGCTCCCTGTCCTGTAATATTCGCAGGCGTGCTCTCCAGCGCTCCTGGTGTGTAGGTGAGGGAGGTGACATTCCGCCAGGCCCTCTGGGGAATCAGATGGCGAGGACTCCAAAGGAGTATTGTTCTTTTTTTTCCTTTAATTTTATTTTCTTGTTTGAAGTATTACAAATAGTAGTACCTATGTCTCCTTTTTATTCCCCACTGACCTTCTCCCGGCCACCCCTACCCCCCGGCACATGCCCTTACCCACCTAGGTTATAATGTTCTTTATGATCCATACATGAGTGAGCAAACTTGACCTCCCAGTCAGGAGTGGAGCATCGCAGTGTCACGTGACTGTTGGCAGGAAGCACCGAGCTGGGCAGGGCACGGAGGGAGGGCCTGGGAAGTGACACTGGAAGGAAGCGGAGACCAGGCTGGACTTGGTTTACTCACCTGCTGTTCTGAAGAAAGAGAAGGGGTGAGGGGGATTTGGAGTGAAGGAGAAGGAAGGCTCTACTTTAGAAACACTCACCGTCTCTTCTTAGGTCTTGGCCAGCACACAGCCCTGCAAAGGAATCGTCCATGAGACAGAAGCTCCTGCATTGAGCCCCCGTCATCTTCTGGTGAGCCTGCATCTTTTAAAAAAATATATTTTAAATATATAAGCCGGGGTGCTTGTAATTTTTAAGAGAGTTTATAGAAGATTATGTACTTCATACCAGGGGGGACACAAGATGTCACTGTGAGCAGCTGTAAGGCAAGGACTCAGTGCTGTTCACCACATTATCCCCTATATTTCACAGCTCCTGGCACATAGCAGGGCCCAACAAATGCACATTGACTGCTGAGGAGATGCCGCGGTTTAAAGACGTTATAGATATTTTACAAGGGTGTGAAAAGATGCAGGCATGGCTCAATGATTGAGCATTAACCTGTGAACCAAGAGGTCACAGTTCAATTCCCAGTCAGGGCACATGCTCAGGTTGCAGGCTGGATCCTCATTGGGGGTGTGCAGGAGGTAGCCAATCAACGATTCACCATTGATGTTTCTATCTCTCCCTCTCCCTTCCTCTCTGAAATAAATAAAAATATATTTTAAAAAGTGAATAAAAGAGAACAGAATCTTACCTTCTGTGACAGCAAGGATGGACCTGGAGAGCATTATGCTAAGAGAAATAAGCCAGTCAGAGAAAGACAAATACCATATGATTTCACTTATATGTGGAATCTAATGAACAAAAGAAACAAATGAACAAAACAGAAACAGGCTCATAGATACAGAGGACAGACTGACAGCTGTCAGAAGGGAGGGGGATAAAAAAAGGGGAAAAGGTTAAGGAAAAATAAGAAAGCACATCTCATAGACAGGCAAAAGTGTGGTGATTGCCAGAGGGAAGCGGGTGGAAAGCAGCAGGACAAGGTAGAGGGAGGATGAATGATGAAAGAAGGAGTAAACTCACACTACTATATACAGACGATGTGTTGTAGAATTGGATCCCTGAAACCTATATAGTTTTGTCAACCACATTAAATTCGATTTTTAAAAAAAAGGAAATCGCCGCAGGCAGACCAGACCGCAAAAGCATTGCATCAGAATTGCTTGGAATAGGACTCAGGCACCAAACTTTCAGAATCCCCCAGATAATGCAGATACTGAGCTGAGATGGAGAACCACTGCTTTCACTGGACCCAGAAAAAGTTTATTAAGACGAGAACATTGACACTGACATTCACAGTCGGCTTAGAGAGAAACTTCCTAATGAAGGTGACTATGGACATCTCTGACCAGCCACAGCCTTCCTGCTCAGTGTGGTCGGCACAGGTTCTCCTGACGCTAAAATACCTTTAAAATTAACATCAAGTCTGTTTAGGAACATTGTTATAAGAAAGATTGATTTAAGTCAACGGATGTTGGTTAGGCCTGTGTTTCTAAGAGATTTCCTCTTTTTATCCTGTGTGGGCCAGTTTTGTGTCTTAGCAGCGAAAAGGGGGAAGTTGCCAGGTCTTTGTGATAAAATTGCAGAAGCCAATTTTAGCATGAGCAGTGGTTAGAGCTTTGGCCATATCTGTATATCTATCTATCTATCTATCTATCTATCTATCTATATCCCTGGAACATATATATCAGTGTTTATCAACTTGAGAAACAAGGAAGGGAGCGGGAGAGAGATAGAAACATCAATGATGAGAGAGAATCATTGATTGACTGCCTCCTCACACCCCCCTACTGGGGATCAAGCCCTCAACCTGGATATGTGCCCTTGGTCAGAATTGAACCGGGACCCTTCAGTCCTCAGGCCAACGCTCTATCCACTGAGCCAAACCGGCTAGGGCTGTTTTTGTTAATTTCAGAGAGAGAGAAAGGGAAAGGGAGAGAACAAAAAGACAAATATTGTATGACTAGAAGCCTGGTGCACAAAAATTGTGCACTCGGGGGGGTGGGGGAGTGTCCCTCAGCCTAGCCTGCACCCTCTTGCAGTCCAGGAGCCCTCGGGGGATGTCCAACTGATGGCTTATGTCCACTTCTCACTGGGAGGGGGCTTAAGCCGACAGTCAGACATCCTTAGCTCTGCTACAGAGGTGGGAGAGGCTCCCACCACCACCACTGCGCTCGCCAGCCGTGAGCTTGGCTTCTGGCTGAGCGATACTCCCCCTGCATTGAGTGTCTGCCCCCTGGTGGTTAGTGCACATCATAGTGACATCATTCTGCCTCTCAATCTATTTGCATGTTAGCCTTTTATTATATAGGATTACACTTATACAAAGTACTTAGGACAGGCAAATTCATAGAGACAGAAAGTAGAACAGAGGTTACCAGAGGTTGGGAAGACAGAGAAAATGGGTTATTGGGTAATGGGTACCGAGTTGATGTTTGATATGATGAGAAAGTTTTGGGTGATGATGGTTGCCAACATTCTGAATGTATTTATTCATTTAAAATTTTATTTATTGATTGGTTTTTAGACAGAGGAAGGGAGAGAGAAAAACATCTATCTGTTCTTCTACTTATTTATGCATTCATTGGTTGATTCTGTCTTAAAATATATTATTATTGATTTCAGAGCAAAGAAAAAAGAGGGAGAGAGAAACAGTGATGACAGAGAATCGTTGATTGGCCACCTCCTGCATGCCCCCACACCAGGCATCGAGCCTGTAATACGGGCACATGCCCTGACCAGGAATCGAATCCCGACCTCGTGGTTCATGGGTCAGTGCTCAACCACTGAGCCTCACCAACCCAGCCCTTGGTTGGTTCTTGTATGTGCCCTCACCAGGAATCAAACCCACTAACTTTGTGTTTCGGGACAACCACCAACCAGTGAATGCATAAGTAAGTGGAACAACAGGTTGATGTTTCTCTCTCTCTCTTCTCTCTCAAAATCAGTTGTAAAAATATCTGAATGTATTTAATGCCATTGAACTATACACTCACAAATAGTTAAAAGGATAAATATTATTTACATATATCTTACCACAGTTTAAAAAAAAAGGAGCATAATACAAGTGTTTACGGTACTGAAAGAAATTGTGAACCCACAGAGAATGGGAAAAGGTAGAGTTGAGAGACACCTGTGAGCACCTGAACTCACTAGAAGCTGCACTCGGGAGGCAGCATGACCCCGACTCTGGCGCGGGAGCCTGGCCTCTGAGCGTCAAAGCCCTGGGAGCCTGGCCTTTGTCCTTTGCCCTGCCCTGCAAAGAGGAGGTGGAGCCCACCGCACTGACCTCTCCTTTCTAAGGGATCATGCTGGGCGGGCAGGGAGGTGCTCCTTCTGCTCTCTGCGTAGCAGGTCAGAGACCAGCGGCAGAGACCAGCTTCCTGTCGTGACAGAAAGCATCGTGGACGGCGAGAACTCAGACTTCCTGCAAGAGAGCTCAAGTCTCGGGGACTCGGAGAGCCTGCAGGCTGAACGAGCTGCCCAGAGAGAGTGGCAGTCCCACCTGACTCTCAATGAAGGAAAATAAATTCTGGGCGTCATGGAACAACTCAGGAGGGAATTGTGGTTATGACTCTCTCAAGTCAGGATGTGCTCTTTCTTGACCCATGGAACATTCTGGAGCTTTTGCAGTGCTGGCCCCTTCTCCAGCAACCTCCTCCTGTCCTCCTCAAGACCCCCAGGGCCCAAGCACCTTAAGCTACCCCGTCCGTGGTCTCCTGTGCCCTGCTAATCCAAATGGGGTTGACCGCTTTGTTGAGCTTGATAGATAGTGGTCAGTCATGTGACGTTTATCCAACACTCCCAGGCCCCAGAACATCCCATGTGATCTCACTTCTTTCTTCAGGGCGTACCCAAGGAACAGCCAGGAACCTGCTCAGAGGCCTCATTGCTTGGAGGGAGCAACAGGAGACTCACTATCTCTCAACGACAAAATGAGGAGGAAAGTGAACCTTCTCATTGAAGGGAGGAAGCTAATGAAGAGCCAAAAGTTGGAAAAGACCCAGGTGCCCGTCAACCAATGGATGGATAAACAAAACGGTCTATGCATAAATGGAATGTATAGACACCAAATGGAATATTACTCAGCCATGAAAAGGAACGAGATTTTTCATCCAGGGAAGATTTCTGGAAGGAATTGCTAGTGGAATCAGCTCCTGACCAAGTAAACATTAAAAATACCATTTCTCGAGCATGGGCTGTGCACCTCAGTATGTGTCATACATGCTGGAGCCTCACTGTGAAGCTGACCCTGAAAGATGAGGAAACACTTCAATATTGACATGTTTCCCAAGGCCCCCAGGTGTGTGTGCAAGGGCTGAGTCTCCAGGCACGTGCTTCAGTCACTGCCTCCCCACCAGACAAGCCTCTGTCGTAGGGGATGCTCTGGAGCAGCCCACGGGCTTGGGATCTGAAAATTGTGGCAACGGGAGAAAGCCAAGTGCAGAGGACCACGCTAGGGCAAGGGAGAGGGAGAGAAAAA